TAAAAATAAAATGAAAAACTTTATTGACTTCGCGATCATAATTGAAAAGGAGTCCGAATAGTGTTTCTGTGGAAACTATGGTGGCACAGGAGAAAAATATTAAAGCAACTTTGCTTTTAAGGGGATGGAAAAAACATTGAAGATTAAATATTTTTTGAAAAGTTTGAAATTCTCGTTTCCTTTTAATCACACCTTTCATGTTTAAATGAAAGAGTGCAAAATATCATTATTTATTTAAATAAATATTGTAAAGTATCATTAGTATTTAAATAAATAATGATGTACTATTTTATTTCAAACAGGGTGCGAATCTTGATATTGTTTGTCATAAAAATATTTTTGAGTAAGAAAATCCTTCTGCAGCTATTGGATTAGAGAGAAACAATTGATGAGTTTAAAATAATGGATTGTACTCTATTGATCAACCACCGTTTTACTAAATTCCACCCCGAACTCATATTTCATAAATTTAATACAATTTGCAATCACATTAAGCGAATGTTGTGATTCCTTTTAGGGCAAAAGCATAATAAATACTACTGATCAATCGCCTTATGGAATATTTGAACAAAGTATGTATCAGTTATACTACATACATCCCAGTATTATTAAGATAAAATAATGATAATCGATTTAATAATATATATAATCGATTAACCATAATATATCGATTAACCATAATATATCGATTAAACATAATATATCGATTAAATATTGTAATCATACTATTTTATTGTTATTTGCACTAAATTGTCGTATTAGTTGTAGTTTGTCAAATTTTTTTGCCGTCCAAATTCTTAATAACGAATATTCTTAGTGTAGAAAAAATCGCAATCCCTGGGAATTTTGTTTTCTCCAAAAAAAAAAAGATGGAATGTGCTGCGATTTTATTTTACGTAAAATTATAAGTGTGAGAACACACACATAAACACACAAAATAACTTACACAAACATAACCATAAAATCTCAAGCATAGACACAATGGCCACGAAGCACAGTAATCACGTATACGGCATAACTAAGAGTAGAGGGAGGAGGAAACTTAGCGCCACATTGTATGTGTTTGTGTATTGGCTCCTGCAAAAGTATACACGTAAGCGATTGCAGTGTTTGCAGCTCTACGCTGAACGCTCTACATTGTACGTTGTACGCTGTACACTATACGCTTCTGTGTATATTTTGTGTATACTTTGTGTATCGTGTTTAGGTTATGTTTCAGGGGTGTTAAAAGCGGTTAATTTTAACTTGTATTTTGAGCGCATTACATTTTTGGGTTTGAATGCGGATGCGGATGCTGTTATTTAGCTTCGTACTTTTCAGTATCCGTTTTTAGACTTACACAAAGTGAAGGGTCAGCTGGTGTGAATAACAGCGCTGATAAAAATGATTGTATGTGTGTTAATTTCTTCGTAGCCCCCTATACCGGCATTATGAGAAAGTCGTAAAAGTTGTATAGTTAAAATTAATGCCTTCTTTGGGTTATGTTCTTAAAAGCTGATATGGGTGGGGTCCTTCAGAGAAAGGAGTAATTTAATAAAGATTTTGTTTTGCTATTAATTATAGAGAAATATATTGTCATTATTCAGAATTTAATGTGCTATGAAATTATTTCTTTGTTTAGCTTAGAGCATAATAAAAAATTATAATCAATATCACATATATAAATTAGATAAATTTCTTGAAAAAATTGTCAGTAATAAACTTATCATCTAGGATATATACGGGCTAAGTTCAACATGAAGTTTTTTAAAGTAAATTTTATTTGCTCCTAAAAGCGAAGTTTATATATTATACATTAAACTATTAAAATGTTTATGTTATATTATATTATAAAATCTAACTAACTAATTATATATGTAATTTATATTGGAAATATTTTCATTGAGAATACTCGTAAAAGCAACCATACCGGTGATTGTATTAAATTTAATAGTTCATTTAAAGAAAATTTTAAACCATAAAAAACAGTTAAAGTGTTAATACATATTTTTATTATATTTGCATATATTTTATATGACAAATACTTATTTTTAGTTTTATTGAAAAACCCATTATTTTTATTTTATAGATTTATTTTCTTCTTATTTTTATTTCACTATGACCGAATATAATGTATCTGAAATTTATATCACTAGTATAATTTTGTGGAACCAAAAGCCGTGTACGTTATTGAAATGTTTTCGACCACAATTAACTTTCTTTCTGGTTCCATTTATCGGTGTGTACAAGTATTTGTGTGTGCCTGTTTGTATAAGTATGCGTGATTGGGCGTGTAGGCGAATTTGCTGCCGTAGTCCTTTTTGAATGGTCACAAAAACGAGTTTTATTACGTAAATGTATACTCTACTTTTAGGCGTAGTATAGATTGATATTTAACATGAAAATTAGTATTAGTTGGGTAAATTGAGTCATAAAAGCTGTAATTGAGGTTTTGCTACAAGTTTTGTTTAAATTTTATGGTATTAAAAACAAAAATCCTACTCATTTATACAAATTTATTTCTTTAATTTTAAATTAAAATTCATCTATTATATATTTATTTTTAACTTTTATAAAGTTTATAAATTGTTAGTACTTTTAATTAATGTATTTTTTTTTTGTATAGTAAATAATTTAATGCATTAATGAAATTGTGTCTATTTTTACAAAGTAAAATATTTTTCTGACTAATGAATGCCAACTTGAATACTCCTCTT